GTATGAGTTGAATTATGAATAAAAAATTAGTAAGTGGTCAGAAAGAAAAATGGGACTTCAGAAATAAAGGGTAAGAAAAGCACAGCAAAACAAATAAATTGTTTTTTTTTTCTACACAAAACAACCCTAATGATATACATAAACATATTATAACAGTTTCCTGGAAGATGAAAACGAAATATGAGATGCAAATGACCTAAACTATCACTAGATTATCCAAAACCAGAAGGTGAAGAAAATCCCATCAGTTTGAACTCGCTAGGGATCAAAAAATACAACCGCAGAGCCAATAAGAGCCGCAAAAGGAGAAAAAAGAGAAGAAGCACACTGTGTTCGATTGGGAACCTTAGCTAATTTGAGAGAGCCTTTGGCGGCAACGGGCTCCGGTGGCGATGAGCTCTGGTCGAGGGAGGGGAGAAGAGGACTTGGCCAAAGGGATGGCAGGGGCGAAGGGCATTAACAGAAGAGGCGAAAAATCCTCTTTTTAGTGAAACACAGTCGTTTCATTAAGGTTGACCTGCGATTATTTTTGCAGGTCGACCAGCTTTTCTCTTTCCCCATTTAAAATTTTAAAGAAAAAAAATAATGCCCTGGTATTTAGGCCAATGGTAGAGAACTGCAGGGAACCTCCTCTATTTCCCGCGTTAAGATGCGCAAAACTTTTCCCCAAATTGCCTCGACTGAAACCAAACCCTAGTACTTAAATTGTGCGATCTGCGTTCAAAATCAAGAAAGATCTAAACAATTACTTTAGGTTCTCAACCTTATTGTAGCGGGGTAACATTATTTGAAAGAGTTTTTATCTATTTTTTGCGAGCCTTTTAGAAAAATGGCTTCATCGTTGTCAAATTCATTTTATGATGCCGAAAAAGAACTCAAGGCACCGCCATTGACCGATCGCAAGAGAAGGAGAGGCGTCGTACTTCGCGGAGAGAGGTTCCATTGCAAGATGATGCCTGTTCAGGCTCTGGGATTTGAATCGTCGATTAGATTGGGTCTCTTAAAGAAAAGTCATAATAAGCATCAGCACGAAAGATCTGTAGCCTTCTAATTTAATATACATTGCAAAGTTGGTATTTTTCATCTTGTTAGTTGCAATGTCGCGGAAATTGACGAGGTATTAAGTGGAATGCAGTCTCGAACGCACCAAGCTTTTCCTCAGCACAGGGTACCCACAGCCATACCTAATTTGGTTGGAAACTGATCGTGGAAATTCGGCAGACAAGAATTCATGTTGAACACGTTATGTCTATTTGCTTTTAGTAGTGCGTTGTTACCAAAAGGCATAGCATTCCCCTTACCACATTTTCCCAGAAACCAAGGATGTGAAAAATAAAACATTATTGATTATTCACACGGATAATGGACGTTATTGGTCAATTCTCTTAAGTAGAATATTCTTTCAAAAAGAAAAGATTTGCATCATTTTCCATTGACTTGACTAGTCGAATAGAGGTGTCGATCCCCTTGGAGGAAATGAATACCTAGCTATAGCTTGTTTTTAAATTTAGAAGGCAGGCAAATACGAGAGGTAACATATTATACAAAACAAGCTTGAACATGACATCCTCATCCTCTGTTCTAATTGCTTCCATTGTGGCAACAGTCATATGGGTTACTATTCTTACTGCAGCCTTGATAATGGTAGCAATAGCAGAGTCGCAAGAATCAGAAGCTCAGGCATTGTTGGATTGTGGGTGGTGGAATGACTATGTTGACATTGATGATCACTGTAGCTGGCCTGGTGTAACATGCAACCATGATAGAAGCGTCATCGAGATTAACCCTCAAAATTATTTAAATTTGGGAGAAAGATTTACAAAGTTGAACTTTTCTGCCTTCCCCAATCTTCTTCGGCTTGATCTTAATAACCAAGGGCTTAACAGAAGCATCCCTTCTGGTTTGCGTCATCTAACCAAACTAACTACACTGTCTCTTGGAAGCAACCAACTTAGTGGATCCATTCCACCAGAAATTGGGAAGCTACATAATTTGGTTGTTTTGAATCTTTCCAGCAACTCCCAATGCCTTAGCTTGTCCCTTAACATTAAACCAAGATCTTGTTGGTGGAATATATCAAAATTTCAAAATCTCAAAACAATTGCATATCACCTTTTGTTTGATTAATTTTAGCAGGGGAAGAGAATGAAATGGAGATGACTAACCCCTTGTGGTAAGTCCCAGACATCATGATAACAGCTGCAGCATGGCTATCAAGCTTGGTTGACCAGACAAGCTTTCCACTTGATCTTTCAACAGCAATAACAAGAGCAGGTCCATAGATTCCAAGGATAACCAAATCATCTGCTATTGTTGGGGTTGCTCTTGCAACCATTGTGTTAACATTGGAAACAAATCCAGTAGCATTAATACCAAGCTCTTTCAAGTCCAGGTTCCAAATAAGAGATCCATCCAAAGCATTAACAGCATAGACATATCCATTCCAGCTAGGGAAATAGAGGGGTCCATCAAAGATTGCTGGTGTTGCAGTTATATCTCTCCCTGCATAAAACTCCCACTTCAACTGCAAATTGCGAACTGTTTCTGGGCTGATTTTGGTTTCCCCTTCAGCAAATCTGATGTTATGAAGATCCCCACCATGGTTCAACCAGTCTTGTTTACACTTATGGCCTCTCCCAGAAATAACATCCCTTTCAGAAATAGCAGCACCCCACTGTAACCAGCAGAAAAATTAGTGTGATCACATGATAGCAAATGCAAGTTTAGAATGAGTTTCAAGGTCTGTGTGTGGAGAAGACAGAGACTTAGCCTTGAATCTGCACATGCCTGAGAGAAAAGGAGAAAAGTGTATGGGAAAAGAACAGGAATATAGTCATTGAGAGGCATCGTTGAGACTTGGATGAAAGAAGGACATACAATCCATTAATTCTTCATCTCTTGGGTTAATATTGTTTTTGCATTAGGGAAATTTGACCTTGTGGATACATTAGACAAGCAATATAGAATCTTTAAACATTGTTTTATTAATTCTATACATATACCTTAGATAATATCATAATCAAATGATCTTTCTAGATCTGAATAACGGAAGACTAGCATTTTTTAATAAGGCCAATGAAATAATTTATTGTAAAATACAGGTTAAAAATATACACTGGCTAAGAATGGTTGAAAGTTTGAGAAATTTAATATTAGATTTCTTTATAAGGGAACCATATACCCTTAGGTTGCCCTAAATATACTCATGCTGCAGTGATTAAGTAGTATTGTCAAATGCAAACTGCAAATTGATTGCAAAAGCAAATAAACCACTCAACTGAATGTTGTACGATTTTACAATAGATTAATGCTTTCATTTCGGATTTCACACTTTAACTAAGACTTAAGTCAGATCAGTTCTTGGGGTGTGAGTGTGTAATTGTTATTTATTATTATTATCAATGAACATGCTTCTACCTTGCATAGCATCCAACTCCAGCCTATGGAGAGATTTCAGACCCAACACAAACTCTATAAGATACCTAAATTCTAAAATACCCAATTCTGTGACTGCAAGATGGCGATTGGGAAAAATCTGAAAAATTGTTAAATACCTGTAATACCATCAACGTGGTTAAGTTGATCATGGCCGCTCTAGATGGGTCCAGTGAGCTCCAGAAGCCATTGAGTTAATGGGGAGTTGCTATGATCAACCATTGAGAAATTTGTAATCTTTTTCAGTTGGAAATTGGGTGGAACGAGTGGCAGGGGCAGTTTTGTTGTTCCTTTGACAAGAATTAGAGGAAAATCAGTGATTGAAGCTCCGCAGGATAGAGAATTCATTGGAGGGTTTTCAGGAAGTCTAATAAGTGAAATTGGAATGTAACCAAAAAAAAAAAAAAGTGAAATTGGGAGCACAGAACCATTGCACTCAACTCAGGGAAGATTTGGACAAACAAAAGAGCCTCGGGGAACTTGCAGCCACCAAAACGGTGTCGTTTCACCACATTGAATTTTCTTATTAATATTTTAGAAAAAAATGATGTTATACCATGAGGACAGAATTCCAGGGGAACGCCTCTGTTTCCCGCATTCAGATGAGCAAAACTTTTCCCCAAATTGTGTCCACTCAAACCAAACCTTAGTTTTTAAATTGCGTGATCGGCGTTCAAAATCAAGAGAGATCTGAACAATTTCTTTAGGTTTTGATCCTTATTGTAGCGAGGTAACATCATTTGAAAGAGCTTTTATCTATTTTTTGCGATCAAGAGTACTTTCAGAAGAATGGCTTCATCGTTGTCAAATTCATTTTCTGATGCCGAAAAAGAACTCAAAGCACCACCATTGGCAGATCGCAAGAGAAGAAGAGGCGTCATACTTCGCGGACAGAGGTTTCGTTGCAAGATGATACCTATTCAGGTTCTGGGACTCGGACTTCAGTTGTCGATTAGACTGGGTCTCTGGAAGAAAAGTCATAACTGCATCAGCACGAAAGATCTGTAGCCTTTTAATTTAATATACAATGCAAGGCTGAAATTCTTGATGATGTTAATTGGAATGTCGAGGAAGTTCATCTGAGATTAAGTGCAATGCAGCCTCCAACGCCCTAAGCTTTTTCTCACACTGGGCGCCCATAGCCATATCGAATTTTCTTGGAAACTGAACGTGGAAATTCAGCAGTCAAGAATTCATGTTGAACACGGTGTGACTGTTTGCTTTTTGTAACGTGTTGTTACCGAGAGGCATAGGATTCCCCGCACCACGCTTTCTGAGAAACCAAGGATGAGAAAAATTAAACATCGTTCACACAGAACATGGACCTTAGTTGTCAATTCTCTTAAGTAGAATATATATTCATTCAAAAAGAAAAGATTTTCATCATTCTCCATTGACTTGACTAGTTGACTTTGATGTAAGAGATGTATCGATCCCCTTGGACGAAATGAATGAATACGTAGCTATAGCTTGTATTTAAATTCAGAAGGCAGGCAAATAGGAGAGGTAACATATCATGCAAAATAAGCTTAAACATGACATCCTCATCCTCTGTTCTAACTGCTTCCGTTGTGGCAACAGCTGTATGGGTTATTGTTCTTACACTAGCCTCGATAATATTAGCAGCAGCAGGGTCGCAAGATTCAGAAGCTCAGGCGTTGTTGGAGTGTGGGTGGTGGAATGGCTTTGTCAACAACACTGCAAATCATTGTAGCTGGCCTGGTGTAACATGCAACCATGATGGAAGTGTCGTCGAGATTGGCCCTCTATATAATTATTATTATGAGGAAGAAATATTTACAAAGATGAACTTTTCTGCCTTCCCCAATCTTCTTCGGCTTGACCTTAATAACCAAGGGTTTAACGGAAGCATCCCTCCTAGTTTGGGTCATCTGACCAAACTTAGAAAACTATCTCTTGAGGGCAACCAACTTAGTGGATCCATTCCATCAGAAATTGGGAAGCTACGTAATTTGGTTATTTTGGATCTTTCCGGTGACTTTCTTTCAGGTGAAGTTCCTTCCACTTTAGGCTGATTAGCCAATTTGTTTACTATTAAACCATCCTCCATCATGCTTTCAGGTCCAACTGACCAATCTGACATATCTGTCACAGGTTCCATTCCACAAGAATTTGGAGACATGAAGAATCTCAACTTTCTACGCATAGATGAAAACCAAATTAATGGTACCCTACCTCCAACAATAGGTCTTTTATCCAAGTTAAAGTACCTAGATCTTCAGGAAAATCAAATCAGTGGTTCTATCCCCTCAGAAATAGGAAACATGAAGAGTCTCATC